AGTTAAGATAATACAGGCATGGCCCCAAAACTAAACACTATGCCTCAGTTTTCAATAAGGATGGATATGCAGAAGTGGTAGCAAAGGTAGAGTAGCTAAAGGACACAAATGTATAGAAAATAAATTATCACATCCAAGGCAGCTATAACACTCAAAGAGCTTAAAGCATTCAAATCATTCAGGGGTAGCTAAATAATCTCCATTGCAGAATACTGATCGAATAGTAGTAATATTGTAAGGCTGGGGACCAGGATTTTTAATAAATATAAAATTGGTGGTGGTACTATAACACTACAGAACAGGAAGTGTAGTACCTATATTTAAGATTTGGAAACAGTAGTGTGGTCAGCTATGGACCCTTTATTCTGACCTAAATATTATGCAAGACTCTTGATCCAGTTTTGTAGGGAAGTCATGGAGGTAAATGGAAAATTGGATAAATGGAGCACAGGTTTAGCTAAAACAGATTATGCCAGAGTAGGCTAATAATATTTTTTGATAGCATAATTATTTTTCTAAACAAGAAAAATGCCACTGATCTAATCTGTACTTCAGTACAGCATCTGATTTGGTGTCACATGGGAAACTATTAGTTTATCTGGAGAAGATAGGGATCAATGAGACTATATACAATGACAAAGCAAATGCTAAAATACTGTGGTGAAGAGCAGTGAAATTCTGGAGGGAGTTTACTAGTAGAATTCCTCAAGGATAAGTCTTGGGACCCACCTTTTTAATATTTTCAATAATGATCTTTGCACAAAAAGTAGAAATGTGCTGATGGCACCAAATGAGAAGACTGTCAAAACAGAAAGGGTCTAAATATCACAGAGGAAGAACTGGATAACCTTCAGGTCTGGAGTAACAGAAATGAGAATGAATTTACTAATACAAAATCTAAGGGCATGAACATAGGAATTAGTAACAAACGTTTGGCTTTCACCTGGAGACTCATTAGTTGGCAATAACAGAAGAGGAGAAGGACCCATCAAGGATAGAAACACTATGAAATACCAATGCAATGCAACTGTAAAAAAAAGCAAATATATTCTAGGATGTAATGGGTGAGGTATTTTCAATAAAGATAAGGAAACACTGTATTTACTCAAATGTGTAAGACAAGGTTTTTCCCCCAATCAGAAGGGCAGGGGGAAACCCTCACCTTATATTCGTATACAAAGTGGAGGGAGCAGTAGGTAGCTGCTGAAGTTCTAACTCTGGCCCTGAGCCTGGGTCAGGGCCAGTCAGACCCACAACAGCCTCCTGCCTGCAATTCCCCTCTGCCCCCCTGCCCACTCCCTACCCTTCCCCTTACTGTCAGGCACAGCTCAGCTGTGGCTCAGGATGGGGTCTCTTGTGGACACTGTTGCATTGCTTGCCTGGGAAATCAGCAGTGCTGCATGAGTTAGGCAAGGGCTGAGCTTCCACATGCTGTGGTCTGGGACGGAGCAGCGTCTGACAATAAGAAGGAAAAGGGAAAAAGGGAAGAAGGGGCAGAGACTGGGAAGATGGGCAGAGGCTGTGGGGAGCTGGGGGTGGGAGGTGTACGTGGCCAGGGGGGCAGGAAAACTGTAGGGTGAAGGAGTTGGTGGGCTAGAGGGCAAGGGAACCACCCGAGCTCCTGTCCCCAGCCACTGCTTTCCCTGCTGCAGGGGAGAAGGTGGAGGTGGAATTCAAGACAAACCTTCAATAATTAGATTCTATACCTGGACAATTATAACAAATGTATATATTTTGCATATACAGAATCTAATTATTAGGTGATTGTCTTATAGTCGAGTAAATAAGGTATTACTACCTTTACACAAGACACTGGTTAAAATTTTTCTGGCATGCTCTGTACAAATTTAATCACCCATGATTAATACAGATGGATTCAAAACAGGAAGAAGGAAGGGCTACTCAGATGATGATGGAATGGAAAGCCTAGTTTATGAGTGGAGGCTAAACTAAGCTTGGTTTCTTTATAAAAACAAAGGCTAAAAGAGACGATTGCTTCATCTCAAAGAATCAAACACTAGGGAATAGAAAAGCTATTTAAACTAAAAGGCAATGTTGGTGCGAGAGCAAGTGATTGATAGTCATCCATTCATAAATTTAGATTGAGAATCAGTAAGAGGTTTTGAAACATTAAGATTGGGGGGTTCCATGCCAATCTTCCAATTGAAATAGGAGAGGCAAAATATAAAAGGATTTGAAATGAAGACTGATAAGTTTTTTTTTGAAAGGGGTTATCTGATGTGGCTGTCTACCAGGAGGCTGTGCTCTAACTCAGGAAGTCCTTTCAGTTCTATACTCTGTAGAACAAACTGTAAGTTAGCTTTCAGTATGGAGGTATTTCATCACATGCTCAGCAGACAGAACAATCAGTCTATTACTGCTCAGTCCTTGATGGATATTGTTTCATTCCTGTGGCGTACAGCATGTATGAAAGTTCATTCCTAGTGTAAATATTTCTCAAGTTACGTCATCAGCAACCCTCTGGTAGTTAGACGCCCCAAGCTTCCTCTCAAAATTATTAAATCATCAGAAGAAATTAACAACATCAAGAAAGCATATCTTCTTAAATGTTTTGTTTCTAAAGTAAATTTTAAAAGTATATAAAATAAGTAAAATGTAGAAAATACATGTTCTTCTGTTATTTTAACAGGTGATATACGGTACGTACAGAGAAGAGAAATATGATGAGCTAACAGCTACTGCTTACTTTTGTTATCTCGTTACATGAGACTGTCCTCTTTATCCTGAAGAGACAGTTTATACATATAATTTAGATTATTTTATTTCTCCTCATGAGCAGCTTTTTCTCAACAAATCATGAGTGCCAGACAGATGCAAGTCAGTTGTTGTTCCTTTACCAAGCCAGTGACAAACGCAGTCATAAAATAATGCTGTGCTTTTTCAGGAACACTGTTTTCCCAGTTGCCAAGGTGCTGTATTGTGATTTTTCTCTCATATTAATATCACATACCATTGACAATAATGGCAAGCAGTGCTTAGTATAACAGTATTCTGCAAGTTTTGAGATCTAACTGTGCTATTACATAGGAACATAATAATTTCCATTTACTGGGTCAGACAGCAGGTCCAACTATCTGGTATCACACAGTGGCAGGGAGTAGATGCTGAAAGGGAGAGTGAACTGGGTATGACCAGGGTTTTTTCCACTGTTCCTCTCTCAATTGCAACCATCAGCATTTAAGGTCTAGGAAGCTCAAATTCAGAGACTGTATCCCTAACTCCCATGATCAATACCTACTGATGCCCCTTTCCTCCACGGATTTGTCCAGTCCCTTTCTGCATCTGGCTAAACTGTCATAACATCTGGTGGCAATTAATTCCACCCTTTAATTACACTCCATGTGAAAAAAGAACTTCCTTTTTGTTAGTTTTAATCTTGCTACCTACTAACTTCATTTTCTGACCGCTAGTTCTTATATTGTGAAAGATAGTAAATAATAAATTTCTTTAAGTTTCTCCATTTTAATATTTTGTAAACCCTTATCATGTCCTCCCTCAAGCATCTCTTTTCTAAACTGAATAGGCCTGAACTATTTAGTCTCTCTCCATATAGAAGCCCCTCCCTGCCACTAATCATCCTTCTTGCCCTTCTTTGTACCTTCTCTAATTGTTCTATATTCTTTGTGAGGTGTGGGGACCAGAACTGGGCACAGTATTCAAGATGTGGATCCCCCTTGGATTTATAAGGGACCATAATGATACTTTCCATTTTGTTTATAATTTCCTGCTTAATAATCCTTATAATTTGATTTGCCTTTTTGATGGCAGCTGAGCATGGAGCTGATGTTTTTAGTGAATTGGCCACAATGACTCCCAGACCTCTTTCTGTGTGGTAACAGCTAATGTAGAGCCCATCATAGTGTAGGTATAGTTGGGGTTATTTTTGCCCAGATGCATCACTTTATACTCATCTACATTGAATAGCATCTGCCATTTAGTTGCCCATTCACTCAATCATGACAGATCTTTCTATAATTCCTCATAGTCCACCTTGGTCTTTACCACTTGGAATAATTTTGTGTCATCTGCAAATCTGGTCACCTCACTATTCACCCTCATTTCCGATCATGACTATGTTAAATAGCAGCAGCCCCAAAACAGGTCCCTGGCAGACCCTGCTGTTTACTTCTTTCCATCTTGAAAATTGGCCATTTATATTCACACTTTGCTTTCTATCTTTAAACCAATTTCTAATCCACAAGTGAACATTCCTTGTGAACCCATTATTACCTTAGTTAAGAGCCTCTGAGGGGGACCATGTCAAAGGCTTTTGGAAGTTCAACCATACTATGTCAACTGGATTGCCCAATCCACTTGCTTATTGACAATTCAAAAAATTTGAGTAGGTTGATGAAGCATAGTTTCCCACCAAAGCCATGTTGATTGGCCCCCAGCAAGTCAGGCTCATTCATGTGCCAAACAATTCATTTTTTAAATTATTGTTTCTATCAGTTTTCCAGGAACAAAATACAGGCTCACCAGGCTGTAGTTCCCTGTCTCTTTTAGAGCCCTTTTTAAATATTGCAATCATGTTGGCAACCCTTTAGTCCTCTAGCCTTTAGTGATAAGCTGCATACTACAGTTAGGAGTTCAGTCATTTCCGATCTGAGCTTCTTTGGGATGCTAGAGTAAATGTCATCAGGTCCTGGTGATTTGCCACTGTTTAGTTTATCAATTTTGTCTGTGACCCCATCTACTGAAACCTCATTTTGGGTCAGCGACACTAACTTGTCCTTGGAGAGGAGTGGTTCTGATGAGGGAATGTCCCTAACATCTTCCACAGAGATAATATTAAGCTAGGATTTCCCATCACAAACCTGGTAAAGGAAGAAAACTTCTTACACAGTTAAGACGACATGGCTTTAAATAATAATATCTAAAAGTTTTATTATTAGCCAAGTTTAATCGTATCTCTACCTTCTTTCTATGTTTGGAGTTCACAGTCTTGCAAAATAAATAGCACATGCACTGCACCTTACCTCTGAGTTGCCTGGAAGTTCTGATTCTGTGTTTGAACTGCTTTCATATAAAGGTCCATTGCTATCTTCTCCTAAAAGATATATGGAAAATATCCATATAAGTATGTGTGTATTTCATATTTAAAATCTTTCTGGTATGAAAATAAAGAAAAAAATTCAAGACATTAAGATAGAAATAAAGCATTTACATTAAAAAAGAATCAAAAGCCACATCTGGAAAATAATACTCAACTTAACAACCAAGATAAATCTCTGCAAATCATTCCTGAGACAAATACTGACAGACAAAATGCACTCCAGTTCTACTAGCTAGCTGTAACCTTGCAGTAACAGAAACAAATTTAACTGTGATAAATGAATCTGTCAGAAACCACATTTTTCAGAAGATAAAATTCATTTTTGCACTGAAGGGTCACACGCTGAGAAACTTGATGCCTGAATTCTGAGCATTCTATTTTCCCACAAGTTGTTTGCTAGAAAGTGAAATAGGTCTGTCTTTGTTAGCGAATCAATAGGGTATAGCTCTGAAACTTCCCAAGTGGTCTTTTTGCATTACAGATGTCTGCATAATGGAGATATGTTGGGAGAATCAGGAGGGATAATGACAGCTCAGATTACTAAACTTCCTGTTGTTTAAAATAGAAGACTCTGTAATGTTACTTTAAGATTGGCACTTATACCTTGTATTATTTACCACATGTACACTGATTTAGACCATGATACTAGTGGTTGGAGTTAGTATCAGAGGCTGTCCACTTGTTGATTCACATGTGGTTCACCTTTTTGAACCATGCTAGCAGGATGACTGGCTGTGTTTTTTCTTGTTAGAACCTCCCCAGGTTCGGCTATGAAGTACTACTTTTGAATAGGAGTTACATTGGCCCCAACTCTAGTAAGCCTGTTGATTATTTTTCCCCTATTCAAAGGTATTTTATTTAATAGATTTTAAATGGCTGCAGACTTCAGTCAATTTTTTTGTCTGTTCAGTCTTCATTCTAGGAGGTAAAAGTGAATAAAACACATTTCCTAGAACTCTCTTATACAAAAATATGTAGTAAAATATTTTATAATAATAACTGGTATTTTATATAGAATAGGCATTAGTTATTTAGTGGTGTCCTTTTGTCAAATAAACATTTTTCCTATAATAGGGAACTTTCATGCAAAAGGTTAGTATAAGAGTTTATTTCTTCTGTGCATGGAAAATATGCTTTCAAGAAGAACATGAAAATTATTTGATCCAACTGCTATAGCTACTAGAGACAGGATAGCACCACTTATTTCTTCTATTTCTATGAATATACATGTGCCCAGAATCTAATTTTCAGGAATCCTCAGCAGCTGCACCTTCTATTCATCTGAATTTTGCTGTGAGTACTTAGCACATCTACAATCAAGTTCATCTGGCTTACTACCAAATGAGAAGATATGTAACAGACTAACATGTATTTTACTGACTTGCAAAAGATTGAATGAAAGCTCACATGAAATACTGCTTTGTCATTTTTTTTTCCTTTTCACAAATAGTTCAGTGCTTATTTATTTTTTTTACTCCACCAGTGTAGTAAGCAGGAAAACTATACTTCTAGTACCCATATCTGATTTGCCAAAATCTCCTCTGGCAAGGCAACGCTGTACTGTTTTCTCCAAAAGTTATGATAAGCAATACGGTCTAAAAAGAATTGAATTATTTTAAGAGGAATTTGCTCTGAAAGTGTGTACATAGACATTTTTAAATTTGCCTTTAAATCAAGTTCTTCATATTGTCACTGCTTATCTAACATGAAGAGATATCAGACCACAGACACATTTATTATAACATCCAAATTTATCCACAATTGATGTATGCAACTTTGTAATGGCAATAATTTGCACGTACAAAATGTATATTTTAAATATTTTTTTTAGAAATTGCACACAGAGGCTTTATTTGAACTCCCATATTTGCCTATCTGTATGTGCATTTTTGTTGGTGCAAGTTTAGAGGCTGCTTTTAAGACATTTTTAAAAATGTCAATGTAGAGTTTAACGTTGGATTAAGTTCATTCTTTCCTACCTCACTAGCCTTTAGGTATCATTTTGAGGGACAGGTGGAACTGGTGGGTGCCTAAGATAAGCTGCTATTTCAAAACAGCAGTAGCACTGGACTTAGAACTAGAGACAAGGAAAAAAAGCTTTAGCACAGAACTTTTATTTCTATACATCTCTAGCACAGCAGAAATACTTGGCACACAAAAGAAAACAGAACTGCACATGGGACATACTGCAATAGAGAAGTGTGACTGCTTGATAGTCGTTGATCAAAACTACTTAACATTAATGTAGTGAGATCCATTTATATGAAAGATAAAGGTGTCCATGTCAGAAAATGCATAAAGGGATACTGCATCTTCAGTCAAGTCTCTGATGGCAGCCTTGACAATAAGGATGATCCTGCCTCAGGCAGGGGATTGGACTAGATGACCTCTTGAGGTCCCTTTCAGCCTTTTTTTATGATTTCATGATTTTATATTATGTACAACTGTATGTAGAAGTGATCACTGAACATTAAATTCAAGGGAAACCACAGCTCAGATGTTTTATGTTGAACATATCTTTTAGTTATGTAGCTGAGTACATATGATGGGGAAGAGATGATTTTCACTATTTCTTTTTGGCAACATCTTTATTGAAACAAAAAACATATTTTCCAAATAGTTTTGATAAAGACTCTTTCCTTCTCTTTCCAATCAGTAATTTATATTGAATGTGTGAGTTATGTTACATACCTAGTGTGGTTCCATATATCTTGCACTGAACTAAGATCTGATTGCATGCAATATCCATGAAACTATTATTCTGAAGTCTGATTTTCAACCGACTTTCAGCAGAGAAGTAAACAGAAAGGACACGCATAGAAAGGGAAGAAGACACAATACTTGTTAGTACTATACCTGCTGACCTCGATGGCTTGAAGTTGATAAGAATCACCATATTGTCTTTAAGGGAAAAAACATTAAGAGTAAGAACCAAAAGCCTGCTAAAGTAGCATCCATTTTAACACAATCTATTTAAAAGATCCCTTTTCTGCTGCAGTGGAGAAAACCATTATAACTAAAACACGAGAACTTCTTAGACATAAATGTCATCTTTATTATAGGTGGAACTCTTGTAATGGCCATGCGGTTTATAAAGATATTTAATGTATACCTTCTCTTTCACTCTCTTATATAGGCAGATACTTCAACAATTTAAATATCACGTGACCTCCACCGCAGAGGAAAGCAGTCATAACTTCACTTTCATTTGCCAAAGATAACCCGAGAAAATGCATTTTTGTATGCACAGAGTACTTCAACAGTACTGTTCTCCACTATATTTCAAAGTTATATATTGCTGTTCAACTCCAGATGGTCTAATATGGGTACCCAGAATCAATCACAGAATAAGCCACATTTACAGATAGTCTACTTGTAAATATTAATATATATATTGTGGTCCGCTATACTAATGAACTAAAAGAACTGACTAAACTGACTTTTTCCTAGTGCAACCTTTGTCTCTGACCCTTCAGTAACATACATGTCTAAGAACATATACCTACCAAAAACTTACAGTCCCAGAAGGCCAAGCCCTCAAACACTCCAAGTCACTCCATACAGATTATCTATTTCCTGTGTCCTAGGGCACTTTGGACAAGCTAATTAGCCCTTGCTCTGAGCATGCAGAACCTTGCAAATGCAGTTATACTGCTTTCAGTTCATCAGGTAGCATGTGCAGAATAGTGCAGCATGTTTGAAAGCGGTTTTAACTGGTAGAGTAGAACTGTAAGACTTGATAGCCTAAGGACCTCTGGAAGTCAGTCAGACTTGGGCATTTCTGAAAATTTTACCGTGAATAGTTATGTTCTTGTCCATGCTCACGTTGCTAAAACTTACTTCTGGAATATTAGGGCTAGGGATAGACATTACACATAAACTGATTTAAGTGATCAAAAACTGATTTAAACCTGTAACAGAGCCAATGTTCAGTGCATATAAACCAGTTTGAAAATGGCTGAAACCAGTTTGAGATAAATCTGACTGAATGTAGTATCAGACTTAACTGATCTGGCTCAAACCGGTTTATTCAATGTCTGTCCCAGACCCCTTGCTGGTTTAAGTTAAATCAGAGTCCCCCAGCATCCCAGCATGCTCTCTGGGCTGGGCAGGGTTCTCTGCTCCACAGCAGGGCTGACCCCTCCCCTTTGCTCCTTGGATGGAGCTCGGCACAGACTTGCAGGCTGTAACAGAGCACAGGGTCTAACAGGGGCCTAAATGACAGCTAGGCAGCCTGCATCTGCCTGCAATGCCAATTAGGCAGAGTGGCCTGATTGGATGCAGGGCCCAGCTGTGCTCTATAAGAGCTCAGTCATGAACACAAAGAGGTGGCAGTTTGCTGCCAGCAGCCAGGGAGAACACCACCTGCCTGGGCTGCTGCTCAGAGGAATAGCTTGGAGGTAAGGGCTGGGGCTATGGGGAAGGAGAAGGCCCCATGGTCCTGGGCATGACCAGAAACTGCACCCTGCCAGGGATGGGTGGCCTGGTGGCACAGTCCCCCAGAAATGCCAGGCCAGTTACCACCCCAGTGAAAGGTGAGTATGGGACGCCTTCTAACCCTGGCCCCACATTCCTGGTGGGTGAGATCGAGCAGGGGGAGCCCAGACTCACCAAGAGTACTGAGGCAGGGCCCAGGTTAGCGGAGGGACCTGTGACAGTGCCCAGACTCTGGGTGGAGGTCTGAGGCTACATATAGGAGCCAGCATGAAGCTCCAGGGGCGTGAGGCCCTGAGACTTCAAGAGCTGTTATGGAAGCTCCTGGGGCCAGGGATAAAGGAATAATAGCCCAGGGAGGGCTTGGGGACAGGGCTCACCTGTCAGTTTTTTTGCACACAGTATGACGAAGCAGGGTGGGAGACTGAAAAGCTCTGTATCATCAACAGATGCATGCACTGGACACACACCCGTGCTTCAGAGTGCTAGCTGGGGGCTGGCAACACTCCCGGCCCTTGAGCAGCCAGCAGGGAAAAGCCTGCGACCATGCAGGCAGACCTCTCTAATGAGATAGTCCTGCCGGGGCCTAGCCACACCCCCCTCTGCTCAACTCCCTGCAGAAGGAAAGGGAGGGCTGCTCTAGCACCCCCCCTCTCCAGCTTCTAGGTTGAGCCACTGCAGGCATGTGCCTGAATTTCCTCAGGTCAAGAGAGAATGTCTGTCCAGTTTCAAATGAGTTCAGCCTAGTCAGGTTAGACTAACCTGCAAAGATTGAATCAATTCAGGCTCAGGCTTTTTGAATGTCTGTCCCTAACCTAGTAAATCCCACTCACAAAACTGATGGTAATGAAGTACTGACAACCACACAAGAGGGCATATGTCTAATCTTTAACTATATACATGCCTAGAATGTTCATACTTAAACACATTCACAAAGTCTACTTTAATCGCTGCCTAATTTAATCACAAACCTGGATGATAACATTTATATTGCTATAAAATGGCCCATGGATTTCAACACTAGGGGACAGATATGTGGAAAGGGCAGGGCTGTTTCAGCTCTTTAGATAGTTTTAAGATTACAAAACACACACAAAAAAGTATTTCTATAATAAATGTACAAAATAAAGCTCCTTGAGTATCAGCTCAGTGTTCAGCAGCCATCAAAAAGGGAAACCAAATGCCAGGGATTATTAAAAAAGGAATTGTAAACAGAATGGAACATAACATTATGGCCCTTTATAAATCCATGGTGCATCCACACCTTGAATACTGTGCTCAGTTCTGGTCCCCACACCTCAAAAAGGATATAGAGGACCTAGAGAGGCTACAGAGAAGGGCAGCGAAGGATGATTAGTGCTATGGAGGCCAAGTCTATTCAGTTTAGAAAAGAGATGCTTGAGGGAGAACATGATAAGCATTTAAAAATACTAAATGGAGAAGAGAAAATTCGAAGGGATGTATTATTTACTATCTCTCGCATTACAAGAGCTAGGAGTAGTAAGTTTAAAAGTAACAAAAGGAAGTCTTTTCACACAGAGTGTAATTAAAGTATAGAACACACTGCCACCAGATGTTGTGGAAGCTGATGATTTAGCCAGATGCAGAAAGGGACTGGACAAATACTTGAAGGAAAAGAGCATCAGTAGCTATTAAGCATGGGAGATGGGGATACTGCCTGTGAATTAAAGCTTCATAGACCTTAAATGCTGGAGACTGCAAGTGAGAGAGGAACAGTGGGGAAAAAAACCCTGGTCATACCCATTTCACTCTCCCTTTCAGCATCAACTGTCTGCCAGTGTTGTGACACAGGACACTGGGCAAGACGGACCTATTGTCTGACCTAGTAAATAGCAATTCTTATATTCTTATTTTCTTATAACTAATTGCCAGACTGTATGCATAACATTCTATAGCATCATTGGAACTGCACTAACCATCCTCCTTATCAGCACCAGACAAAATAGCAATGGTCTAACAAGAAAAAAAATTGTTTTCATTTCACATATTTGCATCTTACTGGATATGTCAGCATTTCAGGAATTCAAAAGAAGGCTTTCTTCCAAGCTATTTCTATTCTGTTTCATGCCATTTCATTTTTTAAAAGATCACTAACAAAATCCTCACTTATTTTAAGCAGCAATATACTCACACATCTTCAAAGGCACTAATATACCTATTACAGAAGCAATAAATGTAATGCTATAGAAAAAGTAGTTACACATTTAAAAAGCAGATGAATAGATGGGAGACTAAATGAATCCTTTTCATACAGTAATGCTAAGGAGCCTGGTAAATCTGCTTTAATACTTGGAAGCATGGGTTGCAGACTGTTTAAATTACCAATGAAAACACCAATGCAAAAACAAATTAAGGAAAAGCCATCAAAAATATTATAAATATTATAATATTTAAATATTATTATTATTAGCTTACCCAGATACATGGCAACTATCCTGGCAGAACTATTATGGTATTATCTGGACCATACTGGAGGAGAAGCAGCATGCCAAAAGTAATGTTGCCCCAAACCGTATTCAGTGACAAAACAATACCTTGATGACTGTTGTAGCCAGGTATAATTAACAGCAGCTGTGTTTGAATTCTGGGGAATGATAAAGGTGGTTTAAATCTATCCTTTCCTTCTCTCACCATATTGATTTGTGTATCAAGTGGAGCTCTACCATAAAAAAAGGATCTGTCCCAATGAATGCTCATAACATCATAGAACTCTCAATGTATTAAACCCTGAAAATTCTGGGTAATTATTAGTATGCTTATAATAACTTTATCTAGTACAACACACAGGCATCCATTATTACATTTTCAAGAAATGGGCTTATTTCCCTAATAATGTAAATGATCATAACTATCCAGGGAAGCATATTAGTGTTATTACTCTCAATTTATAATGAAGCAAAATATGACCAATAGGTAAATGGCTACTCCAAGTCTACCAAGAAAAGGTTCAGGGCACAAAAAGATGTGGGTGCCTCCCAGGTGGGTGCTCTAACTACTGAAACAATAAACCATGCTCTCTGGCCCAAGGAATCTGCATTTACTCTAAGAAAAATTAAACAGCTTCAAGGAGACCAGTTGAATGGCCTGCCCTTACACAAAAAGATGGATTAAAATTCACAATTTATCTATCAGTTAATCACTAAACTGCTTATCAATAACTGGCATTATAACCTTGCTTTGTATGGTTGCTTCATTTTAAAGGATCACAGTAGCAACTTAACAAGTGAATTGCTTTTGCCTGATGTCCCAGGAATCTGACTTAGCACTAAGTCCTTCAAACAAAAACAAAAATACACACCCTCCAGGGGTGCCTGTAGATGAGCAGAGACACTGTTCTAACAGGCTGTAATACAGCACATCAGAATTAATTGAGTCTCTGGAGTGTGCACGCTCCAGCAGCCTCTGCATATACAGTGTCCTCACGCTTAGCAGCGGGAGCGCTCTAA